ACAAATGAATTAAACTGAACAGTAATTTAAATTTGCACCTTATCGACCAACAACCGTAAAATCTGGTTGGTGAGATGCCTCAAAGAAATGTACTTGTGGCTTTACAGTTAAACAATAAAACTTTATGATAAGTAACTATGAATACAAGGGAAACACAAATATATGGAGCTTGAATTAAGACAATAAACTCATTTTTTACACTTGATGGTTTATTTTGTGAAATAAGTTTTGATTTATCATTAACTTGTCAGTAAACATATAGGCAATGTTTGAGAAGTTCATATCAGCTGATTTTTATCATCCAGCCAACGCTCCAGAAATAATATCTCTATGCTTTCATAAGTACATGTAATATTTATATGAATAGTACAGACCCTTTCTCTCTGACTACTTTCATTCAAAGTAGAGTTCGTGGAGAATAGTTTTTAATAATTGCATTAACATTAAAATGCGGGTACATGTTTTACTTTGACTTTTTCTTGAAAGTGGAGTTTTGTTTCTTTAGAAACTTCTGAAAACACAAATCTAATCATTTTTATTGTGACAGACTGTGACGTGTGGCAGCCAGTGACGTCACGTTGACAGGAAGTGGGACGTCTCTGGCAGCTGAGGAAGAAGATGGAGCTGAGAGAAGATGGAGCTGAGGGAAGATGGAGCTGAGAGTTTCCAGGCTTCAGGCTCGTCACGATGCTTTCCGACACTTTCTTCTCTCTCTCGCTGCGTCATGTTCTCAACATGTGACCTCGGAGTCCAGTCACATGGGACTGGATGCTCGTAGCTAGCTGTTAGCTGTTAGCTGTTAGCTTGGTCCTCCATCCTCCCTGGTCCAGCTCAGGTGATCAGCTGCAGCTCAGACAACATGCTGAGACCTTGATGTCCCATCTGAGCGAGTGTCCGGACATCTACAGGTACTGGTACTGCAATACGAGTACTGTTACTACTGTTACTGCAATACGAGTACTGTTACTACTGTTACTGCAATACAAGTACTGTTACTGCTGTTACTACTACACAAGTACTGTTACTCCTGTTACTGCTACACAAGTACTGTTACTGCTGTTACTACTACACAAGTACTGTTACTACTGTTACTGCTACACAAGTACTGTTACTGCTACACAAGTACTATTACTGCTGTTACTACTACACAAGTACTGTTACTACTGTTACTGCTACACAAGTACTGTTACTACTGTTACTGCTATACAAGTACTGTTACTGCTATACAGGTACTGTTACTACTGTTACTGCTATACAAGTACTGTTACTGCTATACAAGTATTGTTACTGCTATACAAGTACTGTTACTGCTATACAAGTACTGTTACTGCTATACAGGTACTGTTACTGCTGTACAAGTACTGTTACTGCCGTACAAGTACTGTTACTACTGTTACTACTACAAAAGTACTGTTACTGCTATACAGGTACTGTTACTACTGTTACTGCTATACAAGTACTGTTACTACTACACAGGTACTGTTACTACTACACAAGTTCAATGTCAAGTCCACTTAGATAAAATATGTGAAATTAACCTGCAGGGCTCAAATGACAGATGTGTAATAAAGTATTTAGATGGTGGAGGAGGAAAGTTAGTTCAGAGGCTTCATATCGTTTCCGTATGATCAGGAGGAAATGACACACTCTCTCTCAGCCTCTTGTCTCCGGGGGTTTGAGACGTTCAGCCGATGTTTGCTTCATATCTTTGCTGTCGTCCACAGACATGGCATCGCAGCTCCAGGTGTTCTCCTCCCCCTCGGTGTCCTCCAGTGCCTACTCCCGTTCAAAGAGGCTCAAAGTGGAGAACCCTGCCTGGGATGTGTCCAACCAGCTGGGAGACAATGGTTTCTACCAGCAGAGCCCCACCCAGGGAGCTGCACCCTCCACTTCTGGCTCTAACTTCAACCCAGTGTACAACCCCAACCAGGTCCCCCCGCCGACCGCAGGCTCCCGGGAGCAGACGGTGGTGCGGGCGGCGGACAGCACGGGCAGCCTTCGCGGACCTCCCTCCTCCTCCTCCTCGTCCTCCTCCAGCCGTCGTGTCAAGGACGCCGAGTCCTCCTCCCAGCCGTGTGACCTCTACCACAAGCAGTACAGCCTGAAGCGGAAAAGTGAGGAGGTGGACAGCAGCGACAGCGTCCAGATACTGGAGGAGCTCTCAGCCCCCGTGGTCTCGAACCGCACCGGTGGTGGAGGGGGCACCACCACAGCTCAATCCATAGCACACTCCACTTCTACCACCAAGAGCAGCAACTCCCACAGTGAGGGCGACTACCAGCTGGTCCAGCATGAGATTCTGTGCTCCATGTCCAACAGCTACGAGGTGCTCGAGTTCCTGGGACGTGGCACTTTTGGCCAGGTGGCAAAATGCTGGAAGAGGGGCACAAATGAGATAGTGGCCATTAAAATCTTGAAGAACCATCCCTCTTACGCCCGGCAAGGTCAAATAGAAGTGAGTATGATGTTGTGATGAATGAAAACACCAGGGTGGTGAATGGAAGCTGTTGTCTCCTCACAGCACAGAGTGTAATGTTTTCTCCGTTATCATCTCCCTCCCCTCGATAGGTGAGCATCCTCAGCAGGCTGAGCACAGAGAACGCCGACGAGTTCAACTTTGTCCGCTCGTACGAGTGTTTCCAGCACAAGAACCACACGTGCCTTGTGTTTGAGATGCTGGAGCAGAACCTTTACGACTTCCTGAAGCACAGCAAGTTCAGCCCGCTGCTGCTCAAGTGCATCCGGCCCATCCTGCAGCAGGTCGCCACGGCGCTGATGAAGCTGAAAAGCCTGGGGCTGATCCACGCCGACCTGAAGCCTGAGAACATCATGCTGGTGGATCCTTTGAGGCAGCCGTACCGGGTGAAAGTCATCGATTTCGGCTCCGCCAGCCACGTGTCCAAAGCCGTTTGCTCCACCTACCTGCAGTCACGATACTACAGGTGAGAGCGTCACATGCCTGCGCAGCGAACCTTCATCACGTCTGCAACGTGTAACGTCAGCTGTGTTTTGTCTTCGTCCATTCTTGCAGAGCTCCAGAGATCATTCTGGGCCTTCCGTTCTGTGAAGCCATCGACATGTGGTCTTTGGGATGCGTCATTGCTGAGCTGTTTTTGGGATGGCCCCTCTACCCTGGGGCCTCAGAGTACGATCAGGTGCTGCTACTCGCTCATATATACGTTTCACTCTTTTCCTCTTAGCAGGTATTCTCAGTTTCTTTCAAAATGATTCTCATTGCAGACAAAAGTCAGATGTTAGTGTGTGTTTGTAACATTTCTCACTTTATTGACCAGTGAGAAATGTTACAAGGCATAAGTGACATAATGAGGGCGTCTTGGTGTGGAGGTGGCTGTGAGAGCACCTTCACCTGGAGGCTCGATCAGCGCAGGTGAGAGCCGTTAGCTGATTGATCCTCTGGTACAAAAGGCAGCAGCCTCGAGGAGACACACACACAGAGAGGACAGACACTACCTCAGTTTCATGTTTGACTTCAGGCAGGATTGTTATTTGTGAAAGCTTTATTTGTTTGGCTGGTGTCTTCACTGCTGCTTGAAAAGTTGAGCTTCTCTCAACTTCTACCACACAAAGTGCAAGTAAACCACAATAAACGGAACCACAATGCAGTTTGGAAACACAATAGATATGAATGAGCAGTGTTTCTGGTGACGCCTCGAATGTGCTCTGTGTGAAATGTCCTGAACAAATCCATGAAGGAGGAGTACGTCGCTAATTCCTTCTAGTATCAACACACTCATTTAAATCTCAGCTAAAAGGCAAATAAACACAATTTCCCCTCAAGTGCTCTTAGCACTTTATCTGTGTACAAGGTGTGAGAGCAGGGTGATTCCTGCTGCTGGCTGTGGAGTCATTTGAGACAAAGCTGGTTCGTCAGGGTGTCAGACACCAGAGGAAAGATGTTCATTTTAATTCTTTCCTTCAGTTAAACCTCAGGTGGTTTTAACTGTCGAACTGTTTCTCTCCCACCAGCCGCTGACATTTTTATTTCTGCGTTGCTCTTTTAGATTCGTTACATCTCTCAGACCCAGGGGCTTCCCGCCGAGTACCTGCTGAGTGCAGGAACCAAGACCTGCCGCTTTTTCAACCGAGGGCCTGACTCCAGCTACCCCCTCTGGAGACTGAAAGTAGGTGTCTCTCTGCGGAAGCCGGTCACCAGTCACAACAATTCTGCACAAGCATCTCAACAGGACATTTACTGAGGTCGTACTGTGGTTATTTTTCTGCAGACACCTGCAGAGCACGAAGCCGAGATGGGGATCAAGTCAAAGGAGGCGAGAAAATACATCTTCAACTGTCTCGATGATATGATGCAGGTGAGGAAGTGACTCCCCCTCTTTGGGGTACGAGGTAGGACAACGTGTTTGCGGAGGTGTTTCAAACATCCTGTCCCCCGGCAGGTGAACATGACAAACCTGGAGGGGACGGACATCTTGGCAGAGAAGGCTGACAGACGGGAGTTCATTGACCTGTTGAAGAAGATGCTGACGCTCGACGCAGACAAACGCATCACGCCCATGAAGACTTTGAACCACCCGTTTGTCACCATGACACACCTGCTGCACTTTCCTCACAGCTCACAGTGAGTTCAGGACTGTGTCCACGTTCACCTGTAGGGTTAGTATTGACTTTTATTCTTTTCACAATAACCATCCTTTTTTTTTTCTTACCCTCAGTGTGAAGTCCTGCTTCCAAAACATGGACATATGCAAACGCAGATGCAGCGCCTTTGAGAACGGAAAAAACATGTTTGCCAGCAACAATCCTACAAGTGCAGCCACCAACCTCACCGTCACCTTCAGTAGCCAACTAAACCAGCACAACCAGGTGATCGACTGTGATCTGTGTCAGAGTCGTTTGGTTCTGAGGGGAAGAGTTTGTGCACATTATTAGTTTGAATAATTGTTTAACAATCAAACTTCTCAGACGTGTGGTTGAATATATCTGCTCCTCGCGGTGTGTTATGTTTATGAGCAGCAAATCTGGAACAGGGAACATTAAACAAAGTGTTTTCCAACGTGCTCCTGTGTTTTCCAGATGGCCTCGACAGGAGGTCAGTCCCTGTCCCTCAGCAGCAACGTCCCTCTGCTGAACTACCAGCCCGGCCTCTACCAGCAGGCCACCATAAACATCCCCGGCCTCACCCAGCAGGGTGTGCCGCTGCAGACCAGACCCACCCAGCTCTGCACCCAGACTGAACCCTTCCAGCAAACGCTCATCGTGTGCCCCCCCACCATCCAGGGTGAGAATGAAAGATATTATTATTTTTGTTGCTTCAAAGAAAATAAATCTTATCAGACAAACTACAGGAACAGCATGAATTAGAGCAATACACATGATATTTTTACTTAATCTGCGTCGTCTCACCTTCTAGGTCTTCAAACTTCTAATAAGCCCTCTGGTTATCCAGTGAGGATGGACAACTCTGTACCATTGGTTCCTCAGAACCAGTCGTCCCAGTCTCTCCACATCCAGCCCGGCATGCTGGCACAGGTAGGAACCGCTGCGGCTCCGAACAGACGTTTTATTGAATCTGAATCCAGATTGATCCGAGGCAGAGACTTCGTCCTCTTTAGGATTCATAAGAACATGAAGCATGTCTGTTCCAAACGTGTCGTCTCTGTGTCTGTGTTGGCGTCCTACCGCTCCCTCCCTCCACCTTCCCCTCACACCCTCCTCCCAGGCCTCCTTCGAACCCCTGCTGTTTGGCAGCCTGTACGCCTCAGTGGCGGCAATGCCACGTTTAGGCTCGTCCCGGCTGCCAGTTGGCTGTAGGGGTGGAAACCTCTGCAGCTGTCTGGATCAGAAAGCCTCCATGCTGGTAAAACACCACAATCACAACAGCCACTTTTTTCCAAATCTCTTCTTTCTTACTTGCTCTTTTTTCGTTATGTCGTCGTTGTGCCGCAAAGCATGTGCAGCTCTCCCTTCTGGTTTTCGCTATTGCTTCTTGAGTCCCTCACATTTCTCAGTGTTGGAAGACTCACAAACAGATATTTTGACTTTGGAAGTAATCAAGTTATCAGCTCTATCTTGCTGTGGTCAGTAATTAGCTTATGGACTCAGCAGTGTTTCCCAACAATTACTTCTTAAAGCTTCAGGAAATCCTGCGTAAATCTTGTTTTATTAAAAAATTCCAGGTCAGGTCACCATAGCAATGAGAGCGGTGTTGACACTTTCCTTATCTCAGACTCTCCTCTCAGTTGCAGGTTTGTCTCAGCTGTGTGGCTTGCTTGCTTGCTTGCTTTGGTATTTCTGCCTCTGTCCTCTCCCGTAGCTCATTGTCTTCTTCAGTATCAAACGCAGCTTCTCTGCACAGGAACTCGTCCGCTGATCATCTCCCTCATTGGCCTTTTTTAGCTCTAATGTGACACGTTCTCTGTGACTTGGTGAGGGACGGAGATGGAAACCTTTGTGTTTGTCTTCAGGCTGCATGTCGTCTCTTTCACTATGATTCTCTGAGGGGAATAATTCCAACTTCTTTTTCTGCTGCGGTCGACACACGTCATTTTGATCCCTTCTCACAGACTGTCTCTGCTGGACCAAGTGACATGCAGTCAGTATCATATCATCTATATTACAATCTTTTTATCTTCTTGTGTGTGTGTGTGTGCTCATGCAGCAGGGCTGGCCGGCAGGCACACAGCAGATACTCATCCCCTCCACCTGGCAGCAGGTGCCCGGCATGGCCATCCACAACCCTGGGCAGACCGTAGTGCCTGACTCACCGATGGAAGCCCCCGTCTCTGACAGTCAGCAAGCGTCTGGCTGGAGGTGAGTTCAGTCGAACAGGGACTCTTGTGTTTTCATTTTAAAGCAACACTACGTAACTTTTACAGAGCAGCAGCGCCCCCTGCAGCCAAACATGGAGATTCATTCTATTTGGCTTCATATCAGAGTGATTAAGCTGCTGTTTTAAGGTTAAAGTTGTATAGTGCTGCTTTAAAACGTCCTGATATTCAAATGTAATGGTAATGGTAATGTAATGGTTCTATCAGGACCAGACGCTCATATGGACGTGATGCAGTTCAGATGAAACAAGTAGAATTATTCTTTTCTTTTTCAAAAGGGGTCGTCATGGCAGCCAGTACGATGGTGTCACCCAGCAGGAATCTGGTGCTGGCCGTCACGGTGCCTCCCAAAACCACAACTCAGGGGCCGCTCACTCAAGAGCCCAACAGGGCAAGAGGTCAAAGGCGCGACACGCTGAGAGCAGAGCCAGGTACCAGTCAAACCATCACACTCTGAAATCATGTACGTGTTGTTAGGGAGCAGGCCGTCGATGACCCGTAGCGCCCTCAGCGTTCAGACGTCCAAACCTATCACTTGAAAATTCCTCCAGAGTCTGTGTTTGGAATGAGGCGGTGACAGTTCGTCTGTTTCCCCCGCAGGCCTGTGTCGTCGGTGCATTCAGCCCACACTGTGGTCCACAACACGTCTACTTTAGGCGGGGACCAGTCTCAGCCCATCGTCATCTCTGACACACCAAGTCCTGCCGTCAGCATCATCACCATCCACAGCGACTCGGAGGATGAGGACGACAGGAAGTTCCCTGCAGCGTGGTGAGCTCCTCTCCTGTCTGCAGAATGACTCGAGTAACATTGAGGGGTTTTGATTTGTTGACACTATAATTCCCTTTTGTCCTGCAGCTCCGGAACGAGTCAGAGGCCCAACGTGATCAGCTGCGTGACGGTACACGACTCCCATGACTCTGACTCCTCCAACAGCAGCCCCCTCAGCCCCAAGACCACCTCACAGCCCGCCAAGTCCCTGGCCATCATCACGCCCTCTGTGAAGAGCCAGCCTGGAGAGAGCACAACCCACAAAGCTCCAGCGGCTCCAGGTTTGTTTTGAGCAGGACCCCTCACTTCTCATTGTTTTCATGTCACAAGGAAGAGAAGTAGCGATTTATACCTGCAGCCGAGGGTGACGCTGGTGGTTTTCTTCCGGACGGGGATCATGTGACAGGAGCCTGGAACCCTGACGGAAATGTAGTAGTTTAAATGTGGCCTTAGATTGAAAGGCTAAACTCTTCTCAGTGCTCACAGTGTTCAATCTTTTTTCCTTTTCACCTGTAGATCAAACTACAAGTGGCGTTGGAAAGTCCAAGAAGGCATCGACGCTTCAGTCCAGTCGACCAGGAGATTCCAACACTGAGCGCCATCAACGGGCGGCATCCAGCCGATCTCAGCCTCTGAACCTGAGTCAGGTAACAACTTTCAAATGTTCCCACGGTGCAGAGTCGTGTACTGTCAATAAAGATGGACGATGGGTCTCCACTTCAAATTCATCAGCTCAGCAGATTAATGTTGTTTTTAAATACCACGTCTGGACGCTGACACAGATTCTCATCGCTCTCCGTCGTTACAGGTACAGCAATCTGTGATGTCATCATCCAATGACCAAACAGGAAGCAGTAGTTCCCTGAGGCGGCAGCCCACATACCCCCCTCCCGTCTCCTCCCACTCATCCTACCGCCTCCACGACAACGCCCTCTTCACCTCGACGCCCAACCTGTACGCGTACCCGGCGTCTGCCGCCCTGGCCTCCGTGTCCCAGGCTGTGGATCAGATGCAAGGTGGCTCGTCCCGCCACAGCAGAGCGAGCGGGGCGTACTCCTCTCTGGCGCTGCTGCAAAAGAACAGCAGCCTGGCTCTGGGAGGTTCTGCTCCGGGACAGTACGCCAACCACCACCAACACCACCACCAACAACTGCAGCAGCAGCAGCAGCAGCAGGCGCCGCTCGGGGAGCAGCCGTTCCACCGCTCCAGTGCTGCTTACCAACGAAAACTCAACCCGTACCCCTTCCTGTAAAGACTGAGGGAGACAAAAGCTCTGCATGAGGACCAAAATTAGACCGAGACTAGAGAGGAGCACAAGCTCATCACAGGCAGCTGTGATCAGACTTTTTTAATTTCCTTTACACCCCCAGTGTTTGTTTTCAGACCTTTCTCCGTTTTATTTTAATCACAGTCGGTTCTTAATCTATTCGTACTTTGGACTTTGTGTCGCATTGGATGCATACGGTACATTAACTGTCTGGAAGGGTTTCAATTCAGTCTCAGCACATTTGGTTTGAAATCCAACAGCGAGGACAAGGTTTGATTTAACTTTGAGAGCGTTTTATTTCCACGACAGATAATCGGTGTGGAGATTGTAGCCATGTCTACACATGGTGATCAAATTAATGTGATCAAACTTCTAGACTGCACTTTGTGTTGATTCTGAACACGTTAAACCCTAAAATGTAATTTTATTTGAGAAGTTAGGAAAACTGGAACTATTATGCTGCTCTATTATTATTATTATTATTAT